GACATTCCTTCGTGTCATGATTCGTGTTTATTATTATGTTTCGAAAATACCACACTTTTCATGCAGGTCATATCATATTATATTGTTGTATCTATCCGTGATTTTTTCAACAAAACACATTTTTAATTGTTTATAAGTTGTTGTTAGTGGCCCGGTGGTCGACTTGTGAGCGTGTCAACCTCACAGTGCGGAGGTACTGGGTTTTTATTATGTGACGAAAATACCACAATATTATTATTTTGTCGTATTTATCCGGTCCCTGAAAATATTGTCTGACATGAAACTGGTCCGTGGGGCAAGAAAAGTTTGGGGACCTCTGCTCTAGGCGGCCCGGTGATCCAGTGGTGAGCGCCTCGACCTCACAGTGCAGAAGTCGTGGGTTCGATCCCGGCTCCGGCCTTCCTGTGTGGAGTTTGCATGTTCTCCCCGGGCCTGCTTGGGTTTTCTCCGGGTAATCCGGTTTCCTCCCAGATTCCAAAAAAAATGCATGGCAGGCTGATTGAACACTCCAAATTGTCCCTAGGTGTGAGTGTGAGCGTGGATGGTTGATGTCTCTGTGTGCCCTGCGATTGGCTGGCAACTGGTTCAGGGTGTCCCCCCGCCTACTGCCCAAAGACAGCTGGGATAGGCTCCAGCACGCCCTGCGGCCCTTGTGAAGATGGATAAGGATCAGAAAATGGATGGATGGATGGATGGATGGACTAATAAAATGACTACTCCATCCATGCTGAACTGTAGGAAGCAGGACATGAACTGAGAGAGCAACAAGGAAAGTGATTTTCACAGAATAAATCCATTAGTGATTCACAAAGTCGAGCAATCATATCAAACGCAATATGGATATGAAACATGAAACCTCCTCAGGCAAGGTGCATCATATACAACTTTATTTTTTGCTCATGCGCTGCACTCGCTCACATCCTGTGCATCCCCTGGGGGTTAGGTACCACTGTCTATAAAACCTAGTGACGCCTCTGGATTTGAGTATTGGAATTCTTAGCATTCAAATGGTAATGGTTGTCTTTAAAAAAAGGTAATTGCGTATGAATCGATATATTCACAGTTTTAATGCCAGTATATCTTCACCATTATATGCCCCAAATGAGATTGCATAAATTGCAACACATTCTCTTCTAATTATATTTTTGGATATACTGTATAGGATGCCAAACACCTCCGTGTGTCTTAACAACTGCAAGTGGGGGAAGCCTCATTTTGCTGTTTCAATGCACCCGAGGGCTTTATGATCTGATAGTGCCAGGATATGGCAGCTGTTTTGCGTTCACACAATGTACGAGCAAAATAGATTGTGTTACTTCTGAGATATATGAATTTGTGAAGGTGTCACAGCAACTGCATGTCTATTCTGTTATATATTTAGGTATAAAGACAAGAGTGTTCTGGGTTTAATGAGTAGTTCGGATAATTTTTTTCCGTTGTATCAGCAGAGGGTAAAAGCAAACATGCTAATTGTGCAACTCACATGGTTGCTATGAAACCGTCTTTATATTTCCTTGGCCACCACCATTTGCTCTGTCAGTGGGTCCTGTCAACAAAGCTGTGGGACAATTGAAGTTATTGTCATTGATGATGATAATCAATGACAATGATTTTATTTTTTTTTTCCAAAACAAGTTTAAGAACTCTTCTTCAGATTACATTTGCATTTGGGTGTCATAAAATTTGTGTAGTTATCACTGAAGTGTCTTCACTGTTGCTGTCATGTTCCGCTCTGTTTTGTTTTGGGTTTTTTTTGTTTCAGCACCAGCTGGCGTGTGGGGCTTCACCCTTCAGCGGTGCACCTGTGTCTGATCAAGTCAATCAAATGGCTGCAGATTTAAGGGCTCTGACTTCCTGTTTCATTTTCTTTATATATATATAGACCGATTTTAAAACTCGTAATCACATTTTTTTTGGTGTGTGTACAAGACTATGATGTGATGTTTCAACATTTATTCAGTTTCACTTTTGTAACGTCCCTCCAAGGGAAGACGGAACTCCAAAGTGGCCCGTGACAAAAATGAGTTTGACACCCTTGAATACAGGGTGTCTATAAAAATGCACTTAGTCACGACAGAGTACAGCACAGTAGGCTGAAACTCACATCTGCAGCTCCGAGCTCGGTTACAGAAAGAATTACACTTGTAAATCAAGATATACACAACAGCCACAGGCCACATCTCAGCCTTGTCGTGGCAAGCGGTACGTCAAACTCGTTTAAAATGCTGTTTGAAAATTTACTGGTGTCCTCTGTGTGTTTTTGGGGGTGATTTTTTCAACAAAACACATTTTTAATTGTTTATAAGTTGTTGTTAGTGGCCCGGTGGTCGACTTGTGAGCGTGTCAACCTCACAGTGCGGAGGTACTGGGTTTGATTCCAGCTGCGGCCTTCCTGTGTGGGGTTTGCATGTTCTCCCTGTGCTTGCGTGGGTTTTCTCTGGGTACTTTGGTTTCCTCCCACATTCCAAAAACATGCACGAGAGGCTCATTGAACACTCAAAATTGTCCCTAGGTGTGAATGTGAGCGCGGGTGGTTGTTCGTCTCTGTATGACCTGCAATTGGCTGGCAACCGGTTAAGGGTGTCCCCCGTCTACTGCCCGAAGAAAAGCTGGGATAGGCTCCAGCACACCCCGCCGCGACACTTGTGAGGATAAAGCGAATCAGAAAATGGATGAATTGAAAAGTTGTTTTTTCAAAAATGCTAATAAACCTCGAATGTGTGGTTAAAAAAGACAAAACTGGTGTTGGCTCACCAATCCTGGTTCAAATAAATAAATAAATGACCCCGTGAGTACAGTGTGGGGGGGGGGTGCATTGAATATATTATATATAATGTGTATATATTTTGGGATACCTTGGTTCCATTATGTTGCATTGAGAAAGCGATATGTTTAGTTCTTCTTTGTCAGGACTAAACAGAAGTCAGATTGTCATAAAGTTTTATGTTAATGGTAAAAAAACAAACAAAAAAAAAACTAACAAAAAAACAGAGGCGTGGTCCTTTTTAGTCACTAGTGCAGTGGTTTTATGGCATGGGTCACATCTGCCATTAGATAATGACAGGGGTAAGCCAAATGGAACATGAAGCATGCGTGTGTTCGTGACCGTGAGTGTGTGTGTGTGTGTGTATGTGTGTGTGTGTGTGTGTGTGT